GGGATGAAAAATCTGCAGTATTATCAAGACGAATGGACTTAATCTGATTATCAGGAAAGTGTGCCCTTAACCTTATTATTTGTGCCAATAATTTTGCAAATGCCAAGTTACGAGATGACAATAGGCACACATGAGACCATCTAGAAGACGCATCTATTAGAACCATAAAATATCTAAATGACCCACTAGATGGGTGAATAGGTCCACAAATATCCCCATGTATACGTTCCAAGAACGCAAGGGACTCAATCTTAACTTTCATTGGTGATGGTCTCACAATTAACTTGCCTTGATAACAAGCAGTACAAGAAAATTCACCATTTAAAAGAACTTTTAGGTCTTTTAGTGGATGTCCATTCGAATTTTCTATAATTCGTCTCATCATTATTGACCCAGGATGTCCTAGACGGTCATGCCAAAGTACAAATGTATTGGAATCAGTAAACTTCTTATTTACTATACAATGTGCCTCAATTGCACTAATTTTTGTCCAATACAAGCCAGAAGATAAAGCATGGAACTTTTCTATAACACATGTCTGCCCAGAGACATATCTTGGTATCACTTGGTGATACCAAGATATTCAAGATTTATTTCATCCATTGATTGGATATGATAACCATTTTCACGGATATCTTTAAAACTCAACAAGTTTCTCTTAGATTTTGGAGAAAACATAGCATTATTAATGATGAGTTTAGTTCCCTTGGGCAAAATTACAATGGCTCTTCCAAAGCCCTCAATCATATTAGTACTACCAAAAATTGTAGTAACATTTATTTTTCCCATACTTAAATAAGAAAAATATTTCTTATTTTTGAATATCGTATGTGTTGTACCAGAATCAATCAAACAAATATCTTCATATTTCGATAATATGTTCTTAGAATTATCCATATCTTCACATGAAATGACATACACAAAATAAATATATATTAAATATTAGTGTTGTCAAAAAGGTACAATATATTCAAAGGAATAAATTAATGATTAAATATTAAAAATTGAGCCTTAATTTATTGTTTCCTCTAAGTCAAAAATGAGTTGTTTGGAAAATAAAATAAAATCATTATTTAATCCTAGTTAATAACAGAGTGCATGTTTTTAACATTAGATCAAGTTAAAGACCTAATATAATACAAACACGCGATAAAGTTTAGTATTTGACTAACTCTATCATATTAGAATCATATAAATAAAACAATAAAAAATATATATTATTTTATTAAGAATTAAGGAACAAGCTAATGAGCGACTAAAATAATTTAAAATACTAATATTCATGCAAACAACTATCATTACATAAAATTTATTAATAAATACTAGAAAAAAAAATATCACTCTTCCATGTTCACAGAACCATCACCAATTAAGTGATCTATTTTTCCTTCAGGATGTGTGAAGAAATCTGCTATATCCAAGTGCGTGATGTCAACTTGATTTTCAGAGATAAAATTTGCCTCAGGATTTTTCTCTTTCTTCTTTAGTGATTCTTGATAAAGCTCAACCAAGTGTTTGGGAGTACGACAATCACGTGCATAATGACCTCTTCCACCACATCGAAAACAACCTTCCCTAGTTGCTTCACGTTTCTCATCCTTTCTTTTTTCCTTTTTATTTGACGAAAACAACCATATCGTGCCTTTGGATGTATGACCATCTTCAAGTGGTCGAATCTCGTCAAGATGATGACGCAAGAATATCATTGCTCGTGCACAGTTTTGATTTGATGCTTTATTTTCTTCTTTTATGGTGTCTCCAAGACCCATTGCATCAAGGTGGATTTCAGCATCCAACACCCATGAGAGGTAGTTCCTGCCCGAACTTTGGAGGGCAGTGAACTCTAGTTTTGTAAGATTGGCCAACAAAAGAATAAATAATACCTTTATTAATTCTTCAAATCTAACCTTCACTTTTGAGAAATTAGAGTCTCGTGCTGATAACGTGTTATAAAACTATTAAATAAGAAGAAGAAGCTAGAGAGAAAAGAAGAGAAAACTTGTTATTTCTCTTGATGAATGAATTTACAATGAAGAGGAGCACTCTATTTATAGGAGAAATCTAACTTGGTCCCCAAGTAGGAGGACTCTTTAATCATATCCTAAAAAGGACTCCACATGATAGACATTCACTATAATACAAATACTTTATAACAATTTTATTTTATTTTGCCAATATAAGTGAAAAAATTATTGCATACCTTTTATAACGGAAAATACACAGATATTCTCTACGAAATTTCAGAGACACATTTATACTGTACTAAGGTCCTATTACCCCTTTGAAATTATTTTATAAGTAATTTTTTATCTTTTTTTTGCTTATGTGGCACTAACTTGATAAAAAAGTCAACCGTTGTTGGGTCCACAAGATAGTGCCAAAAAAGGGATAGAAAATTATTAATAAAATAAGATCAGAGGGTAACATGACATTTGTATAATATAAGTGTGTCTTTGAGATTGATGGATACTTGTGCATTATCCCTTTTATAACTGATGAATAATGATACTATAATTGTTATTTGTACATGTTCATAACTACAGTAAAATTTATAATAATTATTTTCCATCTATATAAGATAAAAATACTTTCAGATAGGAAAATAGTAAAATATTCATACTAAATTAGAATTAAAATAACAAATAAATTATTAAAAATATTATATCGTGGCAAATGACTATTATTCTTATAGTAACCCGTATTTATAAGGTTAACCAATGAACAGAAACAGAAATAAGATGAAGCAGAAAATACATAAAATACAAGAATTAATCCGAGTCCACAGAAACTACTGTGTGTCCTTAAGAAATTCAATCCCCTCACTGTACCCAGGGTTATGGATTAATTTCTCCCAAGATAAAACGGATTAAACCTGTTAAAGAAATAACGGTACCTCAAACTTTTTTAACTTCAACGAACTTAAGAACAGCAACAAGTCACACAGACTCAGTCGATCGACAGTTTGATTTTATTTGAGAGAAAAATAAATGCAGAGAAGGAAAAAAAATTCAGTGTTTTAAAAAATCAAAAATTGACTTCCTTTTATAGCCATTTTCAGCAAGGAACGTGTTTGTTCAGTGAAATCTGTTCAGACTCATTTTATCTAGAAAGTTGTGTCTTTTGGAAAAAATAACAATTTTTCGGAAAATTGTGTTTGTTAGGAAAATAACGACTTTTTGGAAAGTAACGACTTTTCGGAAAGAGTAACAACTTTTCAAAATGTTATCGTTACCTGCAAAATTTATAAGAGATAATTTTAACAGGATTTATTCGATTTAACAAAAACTGATTAAATAAATTTTGTCCAAAAAATTTATCAATCAAATCCGAAGCTGACGCCGAGCGAGCGCCGACGTCGCGAGAAGGCATCTTCTTCTTAGCTCTTTAAGAAGTAATGGAAGTGTTTCCTTCTATAAGGACAACAATTTTCCCTTTCTTTTGCCGATATGGGAGAAATGACTTTTCATTTGCACTTTGCAAATGAATTTTCATTTTCCCTCCAAAGTAGTTCCCTCACTTTTCATATTCTCTCTCTTTTTTTTTCCCATTCACACTTGCTAAATCCCAACAATAATTATTTTAAAAGAGATGTAAATAGAAGAAAAATGCAATGAAAGAAAGAGTGCAAAAATATGGCTTTTTCATAAAAAAAATAAAATATATATATATATATATAAAGTAAGATTTTGATCAGGAACGTATTGAAGGAGCAAATGAGGAGGTAGCTACACCATTAGTTGAATAACGATGAATAAAAGAAAATAAGAATGACTTACTTAAGAAAAAGATAAATAAAGCAAGATCTCGATCAAGCACGTATTCAATGAGCAAATGAGAAGGAAGTAGCAACAACATTAGCATGAGCAACAGGCAACCAACAAAAGTGTGTTCTAGGATTAGCGCATTAAACAATCGAAGATTGAAAATGATTCTTGACAGAATTGCAATTGATATATCCAAAGGTTACATAGTTTTGCTCCCAAGATTAGATAATCACTTCAAACACATGCACTTATAGCTGAAAGTTTTAAATTTGTAAGAATACCTAGAAAAACAAAAAGAAAAGAAAACTTTGAAAAAATAGAGAGCACTTAGAAAACGTTGAGGAAGAAGAGAGGAATTTCTCTATATTGACAAGAAAAATCTCAACATGTGTATATATGTTATGCACCGAGCTTATACGTTGGACGTAGCCGGCACTCAATGATCGTTGTTGGTCTTGAGCGAACCCTTGGCCTGGATTACTCAACTCAGCGGAAGACTGAACTTAACTCAATTATGAAGTAAGGAACATTTTCAATAGAAATACTTAAAACATAATACTCTCGCCAAAATGACACTTAAATCTCATAAAAAAACTATTTGAAATACAGAAACAAGAGACTGAAACAAAACTGTATGACTATCTATGAAGCCTCTATAATAGTAAGATGAATGTTGGGACAGAATCCAACACATCCTATAAAAAGGAAAGACCAATAAACAATAAATAAGTATATGTAAGGAGGCTCATCACTGACTCTGGATGCTCAAACTAGATCAACGAGGCACTGTGTGCTGATCCTGGTTACCTTCGTTTGTATCATAAGACGATGCAGGCCAACTTGTATCAGTACAATGAATGTATGAGTATGCGAGTTGGAATGCTAACAATAACTTAAGGCTGGAAAGGATTAAGAAAAACTTACCTTGACTCTACTCAACTCGGGAGATACTAATTCAACATAAGATAGTGAAGAATATGCAATTATATATAAAACTTGCAAAGCAGTGTAAATAACTTAGTTTGTCAAAAGATAATGTACTATCAAACTCAATTTTACTTATAATGTAAGTAATATAGTTTCTGTGGGAGATTCTCTAAACGACAACCATCACTATGAACCTAAGCGATGGTAAAACGTCTTACCTCACGTTGCAAGAGGACCGTTCTATACCTTGACGTCGGTATAAAACTTGAACTATTAAGTGGATCCACTAGTCTATGCTAAAAAACACTGAGGACTCATCTAAAAAGTGTGACCCTTCATCTGTCCATGTTGACTACATGGTTTATGGGGGCTTGAGTTAATATGAACTTGTATTCCCATATCGGTGTTCAATACTACTCCCAAAATACTTAGCTCATATGGTTTAAAACAACTTCCTCTCCGGTTTGAGATAATTTCCTCAAACTTAGATTTTAAAAAGCTCCCTTGGAAATCTTAATTTCCTCTTTACTGAACTAGCCAAAGACTTTCGGAAGTCTGGCTTCCTTTCTTGCGCAAAATGTGAAAACATTTCTAACCTTATGTAATACTTAGTTCCCTTATAACTTTTGGGAGATAACTCAACTCTATGCTCTTTGCTTAACTTGTGACTTAACTCTCAGGGAATCCTTTATAATTTTTGAGAATTAAGCTCAATTCATTACGCTTTACTCACTTGTAGCTTGAATCTTAAAACAAAGTTAGAACGTTTATTAAATAATCTTGAAAACTTTAAGAACTCACTTTGACTTAAATATTAATTTCTTTGATTTTGGTCTTAACTTTCCTTGAATTGGATTATGAATTCAAGATTAGAATTTGAGTTCTTTAATGATTTCTAGGTGTTCAGAATTCAATTAAAGTAATTAGAATCATCGAAAGGTGTAAATGTATGTTAGAAAAACTTACTACTGCTAAGCTACGAAAACTTAACATTTATCTTAATTTATTTATTTTTATTATAGAGTCATTTATACATATAAAAAAAGAAACTTAAATTTAAGATCAAATTGATTTAGTATTGTTGATTGAACCAATAATATCGCTATAACAATCATTGAATTTAGTATCACAATATGATAATTAGATTATTATTTTAATGTAGCTTTTCATATCAATTTTTATGTTTTCTTTCTTTTTATCAACAATTTTCTAATTGAAAATGTAGCATGAGATTTTTTTAGCAATTTTTGAATAGATAATATAGAAAGGTAACTTAATTTTTATTTTTCTCTTTTATTAAATCATTTATTAATTATTTAAAAATATATTTAATATTTTTTTATATTTGCAAAAAACGCGGACAAGTATAATAGTAAGTAGTAACTATATTTGATTAATTTTAGGACTTTTTCATTCCAACTCGTAAAATTTGAGTTTTTTTTTCCAACTAAGGGTACTTTTATCAGAATTTGTCTTTCACATCATAAAACTGCTTAATATTGAATTAATTTAAAATACTTAATTAGCGATCCAAGAAAATAATATTAAATTTGTCTCCATTATTTATGTGACATAATTAAACTTTCATGATTTTTAAAATTTATTTACAAGTTTAAACATAATTTTTTTAATTTTTCTAAAATAAAAAATATAATTAAAAATCCCATAAATAAAATATAAATCACAAATACTCATTCAATTCATTCATATATTCATTCTAAATTCTGTACACCTCATAAAAAACAATGAATATAAGCATTTTATCATTATCTCCGATATCTTATGTATAGTTTTAACTTGAAAAATAACTAAACAAATAAGTAATTAATTAATACATTAAAACTTTGAATTTTTTTAATATGTTAAAATTTAAATATATAAATTGAGACGAAGGATTATGCATCAACGTGCTTTGCTCGCAAATTCACGATCGCTTTCCTTTGCCGTACTTCAGATTCTCTCAATTTCTTCAGATCGACTCAACTGTTCATCAAAATCTCAGTTCTAAATTAATAATTAAAATCTACAAATGAAGGACGATGAATTGATACCGGTATCAACACCGACGACGGCGTATTCATCGTTGAATACAAATTCAATACCGTCGAGATCATTACATGATGCTACATTGTTCGGAAGAGGTCGGTATAAGTTTTGGGCATTGGCTGCTATTCTTTTCTTAGCATTTTGGTCAATGTGTACAGGTACTGTTTCACTCCGATGGTCCGCCGGAAACCTTAATAGTCTCTCCGATCTCTTCGATATTCCGAAATCAGATGATCTCGACGTTCTCGTATGTTTACTATGCTTATCCTTTTCTTTTTTTTGGTTCTGTATAGGATCCATTATTGTTTAATTTTGCTCAATTTTTAAAAATGTTTATCGCATTTTCAGTATTTCTAGATTCAAATTAGTTTTGTTCGAATTACCTCTGAAAATTAGTTGATTTGACTGTTAATAAGCTGGTAAAGTTGCTGACTAAGAGGTTACGAGTTTGAATTATGAAAATAATCTTTTGCAGAAATGTAGAGTGAGATAGAGTCTTGTTCGATTTAGCTTCGAAAATTAGTTAAGTTGATTGTTAATAAGCTGGGAAAGTTGTTGCCATGTGATGAGGAGATTACATATTTGAAAGTGAAAATGACCTCTTGCAGGAACGCACTGTAAAAGATGGAGTACAATACATCATTGTGGTCTAGTTCTTCCAGCTTAGTGCACTGGGCTGTTTTTTTTTTTTTGACTATCAGTAAGCTAAAAGTGTGTTGAATAAATTTGGATGGGGAGGGGTTACATTATGAGGGTTTTGATTGATTTTTTGAGGAAATCATGGTACTCTTTTTGCAGGAAATGGAAGACAGGGAGAAGTTGGTGAATCATATGTGGGATGTGTACACTAATAGTCCTCGGATCAGGATACTTAAGTTTTGGCAGGAGGCGTTTGAGGCGGCCTATGAGGAGTTAAACAGTGACGTTGCTGAAGTTCGAGAGGCTGCTATCTCCGAGATATCTAAGATGTCTATCCAATTTGTTAATATTGATCTGCCACCTTTGCGTTCAATGGTTAGCTCTCTCTCTGTGTTTCAGTCCAGTTATATGGGTGGCCTTTGTTCAGAGAAAGTTGATTCCTTATATTATGATTTCTGAGCATGCTACTTTTTTTTTTGATGAAGTTTTATGAGCTTGCTACTTTGAATAGTTAAAAGCCTGAGAGCTGTTGTTGTATACGAATATAACAAATTTCTACAAGAATCAGTTGTGAAAGATAACATCGATAACAATTAGATTTTGTAGGATCGTGAGTGCATAGATGATCGAGTATTAGGTGCAATACAAGTGTCCAATATAATATAGCTAACAACTTTTGAGGCTTAATTAGGAGATAGTTCAGGTTGCTGCATTTCCACTATTTAACCTTGTCTTGTGGGGCTGGTGGTCGAACTTGATCCATCATGGGATTATTACTATTAATTTGAATATCGATCTCAATTAGCCTCACAAATTAAACCTTGCATAGACTTGTTGTGATGATTGTTATTTTCTTTATGAAGTAATAATAAATGTGTTACTCTTTTATTTGTCCATTTACCTGGGATGCCTTCTTGTAGGGACGAAAAGTGGATTCCCGAATTGGAAAGATTTTCCTCTCTCCAAATTGTAAAATTTGGTGACTCTTCATGGCGATTAAGCGAACTAGTTTTTTTATTGTTAAAATTTAATAATGTTTCAATGAGTTAGTATTATATATTGTTAGGGGTTAGTCTGCTAATTAGAAGATTCAAATCTGCTATCAAGATAGCATATAAATTTAAATTTGTAGATAATATTGTCTGTCTATATTAATTCGGCTTTCAAGGTGACAGATTTTCCCACAAAGAGGAAGATGTATATTTTTCAGGCCGTGCCAAAGGTGAAAGTCGATCAAAGTAAGAAGGATGTAGCAATATTCTTCTTCTTACATATCAATGGCAATGCATAGGAACAGTATACATCTCAATAGATCACCTTTCCCTTAGAAGTTGATTATTTTGAAGGAATAGAAAGGAAAGGAATTATTTTGAAGGAATAGAAAGGAAAGGAATGAAAAGGAAAGATATTGTACCTTTACTAATCGACATGATCTCTTACTTCGTTTCCTTCTCATTCACATCTTTACTATCATATATAGTTAACCCCTTCGTAACTCATTCAGCCCAGGTTATCTACTGAACTTCCAAAATAGAGAGCTGCTATGCTTTCTCATACTTCTGCTTGACAGCAGTGACTCAAAGTTTGTTGTCATCCTCTAAAGAAGTTTATCTTGATGCAGATATCGAGTGTGTCCGTGTGGGTACTATGGTGGTCATAAGTCCCATCCCTTTAAATTTTCTTACAGTCTTGATAGGCGTTTAAATGCGATTATCTGTCACAAATTTGAGAGAGGGATTCGAGCCCGTTCTCCCTTTGTTGGCACAAGACTACAATAATACTATACCTCAATCCAAAACAAGTTGGGGTCGGTTATACGTATCCTCATTGTGCATGTCACTCCATTTTGTATTTGGCACTAGACCCATGAAACTTTTCCTCCATCCCCACCATTTGTCATCATGCACCCCATATGTTAGCAAATAAGACGCCATTATTGATGCCTTGATTGTTGCCGCTATCACAAAGCATCAGTACGTGGCATGACCAAGTTCAATCAGCTTTTAATGATAAACTGGCATCCACATAAGTACTTACCATCTCAACATTTTACCAGCAAATGCCACAATACAAAGGCACAGCTGGATCAACTGCTTTCCAGTTCCCAAGTTAAAGTCTCAGTGGTTGATATAGAATAATTACATGTATCTCAGGTTCGACTCTCGTTATAATACTCACTTACTCAGTGAGTCCATCTGCTCTAGTCTTCGCGGATAAGATTACCCCACCACTACTTATAAATTGTAGCAGACTGTCCAATGGATTAGTCGAGATGTGCCCAAGGTTTGGTCCGGACAGCTCTATATTTAGCAAAAAAATCAATCGCTTAGTCCTCTTCCATTTATACTTGAGAAATTGGTTTCTATGTTGCATGTGTACCCCTATATCCAAATACTATTAGGGGATAAGAGAGTTATGTCATATGTGGATTAAAAAATCAGGACCTTGGATATGTTGTAAACGTGATAATAGACTGAATACAAATTTCTTCTCCCATTTCTTATGAGGATAAGATTGTGAAGCTGATTGTTCTCTCTCTTAACTTCTTTTCATGTTTGTTTACATTCTCCATCAATTTGTTTTGTTATTTTCTTCATTTACTTGAGATTTTTGAAATCATTCATCTACGATAAACTTTCTTAGGTCCAGTGTTTGGTTCTTGAACAGTAATTCAGAGTTTGTCGAGTGAAATGCAGTCATTCTATTATTGCAATCATCTGCCTGTGTTCTGCTTCTGCATGTCAACACATTCTTCAGGATTTTTTACCATAACTTTTTTTTCCATATCTCTAAAATCCTTGGATGACAAAACAATTTTTCTTCTTCTAGCCAGCTGTAACCTTTTATGGTTGTTCTGGAATTTGTATACTTCTTGATTTTGTTTTACCTCATGATCAGTCATTTTTGCACTTTTTAAACTGAAAACTCTCTAGCTGTTCCTGTGCAAAACCTGTGAGATCTTTAGTTGCATGCTTATGACTTCTATGTTTCAGTCTTCCTTTCATTAGAGAGCTTGCAAACTCATCTGTTCTTGTTGGCATGAGAATCTCGAACGACTTAAATAAGTACAATATCAGCCACTATACTTCCGCAGAATCTTTCCTGGAGTTGCTATACTGGGCTTCTACCAAGTTAATTATTCAAGATCTAAACACGAGAAAATCATTTAGAAGAGTTATGGACTTGTAAGGGAAAAATCCATCATTTTCACACTTGTGAGCTTTTTTTTGGATAACCTTGTTGTCAGGGCGAGCTTACGTGCGCGCACCTTGACCAATTCCACCGGATACCTGCCACACTTGTGATCTTTTAGGGATGATAGAGAATGATACTACTTTCGGGGAGAAAGATAATTTTAAATTAGGAATTCAGTAATGTAAAGGTGTATGTATCTAAAAGAGGACTGATCTGCACAACACTAGAGTGGGGTTTACCCTGAGTGCATCTGAAGGGTATCGGCTGCGGGTTTCATTGTCATCATCCAAAAAAAAAAAAAGGGAAAGGTAGAGAATGGATCTGCACAACTCCATCTCCATTCTCCTATTCCTCTATAGTGAACTTGTGCCATCACTAACCCTATTCATTCACCTTAAAATATTTAAGTGCAGGATAGTTACTGGGAGAACTCCTTTGTTAATGCATTTGTTGAATGTGGTAAGAGTTCTGGAAAAGTTTTTATGATCCTTTTGTCAATCGAATTGTCAACTTTATCTAAATAATCCTTGTTTGATCTTCATGAGGGTCACTTTGGATTTGTACAACAATGTGCCTATTTAGGTTTGACAGATAATCCAACTGCTGCTTGCTGTTACTTTTAATTTCTTTTTATTGGTAAGATTTTGTAAGCTGCTCGTAGTTCTCCCCATAGTCCGTTCCACCTGCCATCTTTCACCCTTATAATTGCACTTTGCAATTGCTCCTTGAACATTCTTGTTAATTTTGCGATTGCTTCTTGAACGATTTCACTCATTTTAAATTGACATGCATGATTGATCTTTCCATGAATCGTTTCAGGCAGTAAGAAAATTAAGTCAAAAACAAGCTGAGAACAAACAGAGGACCGCAACAGGAAGTAGGTTATGACTAGAAGAACATCAAGGGTCCAAATTTGCACGTTTCCACTTATTTATACTAGAGAAATGAAAACGCACACCAACCTGCTCCCTGGTATTTGACTAAAGGGGTATCTGGGTAAAGATTGCGCACATTTTTGCAGCAGGGATAAGCATTTCTAACTTTTTGTTACCTGTACCTCTTTTTTCTCCTTCGATTTTTCATCTCTCTAGACTCTATTGAAAAAAAATCATATGGGTGCAGAGTTCAAGAAAATCGTTAATTAATTGCTTCGTGCTAAGAGATTGGTATTACACTATTACAGTTGAGATACCAATTATACAAAGTTGCACGGGAATATAAAGATTATATTCATGAGTTCTCATGGTAAACTTTGTTTTTGTAGTCTCTCAAGTGATTTTATGCAGCATGCAGCCCTGTTTGCATACAAATTTGCAACTCTACTTACTTCGAAACAACTTCAGGCACCGCGTGTCTGAAATTAGTCTTATTAGACAATATGTCTGAAAGTTTTTATATGACATGAGATCTGAGTATATGGTGATCTTTTGATTGCTAACTAAGATACGACCTAGAGTTTGCTAGACGAATATTTCTATCTTTTCAGGATTTTAGAATAGATTTGGTGCTTGCTTGAATGTTATTATAGGTGATTAGTATTTTCATCCCCCATTGTTGCTAGTATTAATTTCAATTCCTTGAGAGTTAGTATTACTTGGATAGATGGGAAAAAATAACTTATCAGGTTTGTCTTTGCTGAAATTAAGCATTAGATCTCATGATGCCACTTCATTGACTACTCAGTCACACATCCTCAACTGCACATCGAGGCATATGTTTACACACATTTAATTGACTTGAAATTTTACATAAACATCTCAATTGAATACATATTTAGTCGAATGAATCTAAGTGAAATTGTGCCTAACATGATTATGTTTTTGTTTGTTCCCTTGGATTCCATACTATCTTTTCTTATTTCATCGGGCCTATTTTGCATAAAGTTTTTATCACAATCATGACAATGCTTTGCTATTTTTCTGTCTCAAGTGGTTATAGAAGGCATATATATATATATATATATATATATATAATGATACAAATGGCTTCATCATGAAGACAAATGATTGTTTTTTCCTCCCCCATATGCCTTCATCAACAATGTGTACCTAATTAATTATTGTTATCCTTGGAGATAGTTTAAAGTAAATACTCTCTTTGTTAAGGGGGTAAGTGATGGTTAAGTATTCGGTAAAATCTTACCCGCATCGATCATCGATCGTCTGTATAATTTTTTCTATACATGTTTGCCCATGTTATGATTTGATATGAAAACTCGATATGTATGCTAATTAGTTATACAGATTTTGATCAACATTTGCAGACATGATTTTTCCATCATATTAATATGAGGAAAATTACAACGTAAAATACATGATTTTTCATATAGTCAAATTCAACCCCAGAGTAGAGTCAAATTTTTGATTCCAAAATATATAACAATTGACAAATAAAAGTAAACGAAAAAATTATATGATTGTTTTTTTATATTTTAATCGATCTCCTTAATGAAAATCCTGCGCTGGCTCCGCCCCAACACCAACCTCCACTTTCCCTATTCATGAGCTCTAATTAGTTTACCCTTTTTTTTGGTCAATAAAGGCTATTTAGAGCCCCTCTCCACTCCATAGAGAGAGATCATGATTCATCACAAAAATTACAAAAAGAAATGGCAAAACTTTTGAAGTTTAGAATATCTAAAGCTATCTCTAACTCTTTTCATTCATGTCGTTCCAAGGACCCTTGTACACTTCCTCAACATCCTGTCCCTTCATTCTTACAAAATACACAATTCATCACCGATGATCATCTTCTGTTCGAAGAAATGATTCAACAAAATAACGAGTCACAACTGATATCGACACATCATGAACATTTCCCCATAATCACCTCACCCTCCTTCAAACACCACGTGTCGGTGACTCCGATAACCGCCACCGGCCAATGTAGCTCAAGGAATGGAGAAGCATTCAGTACTACATCCGATGACAGCCACACCAGGTCTTGTAAATTACTCCCTTTGTTTTTGTTACACAATTATTATTTAAAGAGTCCACACTTTTTCGATGAGGTATTTTAAATTATTAATTATTTTAATCTATAATATTTTTTTAATATACTAGTAGGTCACCTTCACATGAATTCAAGTGGAAAAAAGAAGAAGACAAGTGGCAACATTTTATCAAGACGAACTCTGACGATGATACAAAACAACAACCTCGTAGGAAAATCTCTTACTCCTTTAGCTCTGACAATTCAGACAACGATAAGATTTTAATAGAGATAAAGAAAAAAATTAGTACTAGTAAAACAAATTTTTTTATGATGATGAGCACTACGTCCTCATCATCATCAATGGATGAAAACGAGATTAATTTTACTAGTAAAAAAACTAAATGGGATTATCATGAGGATATCGATATTACAAATGAAGATGAAGAAAACGAGACTGAGACATTCATATCTTCTTCTCGTAAAAGCCACGTGGAGTTTCCGGATGATTCATCTTTGAATTTTAGCCATGAGTTTGATACAATTTACAAAAATACCACTAGAAGGTGTCAAAAAAAGATTGGCTATAGCAAGAGAAGAGATCATGTCAAGAACACAAGATCTAGATCTTCAAGGGACATGAACAATATTGGTACGTACCTAGTGTTGAATATATCATGTGATTGATTTATCGATCTAAAAGTTTAAACAATATAAAGGATATCTTTAGAGCTTGTTTGATCCGACAAGAAAGTTATTTTATATTAAATTATAAATGAATTAGGTTGAATTATAATATTACACCTCTTCCTCAAGCGAGTAATTAAGTTATAAATCTAGAATCTTTTACCTACTGTCGCACGTACTTTATTGAAATGTATATTCATCTCATTTAAAAATTTAAATTGATAGAGAGTATATCGTGTATATACGCTTTAACAATTTTTTTCAGGTAGAAGGTCATCAATTTCGACGTCAACGACATCATCGGACGGCGAGTTACCTCCAAGATTATCGGTGTTCAAGAAGTTGATACCTTGTAACGTGGAGGGGAAAGTAAAGGAGAGTTTTGCTATAGTGAAGAAATCAGAGGACCCATATGAAGATTTTAAAAGCTCTATGATGGAAATGATTTTAGAGAAAAAAATATTTGAGAAAAATGATTTGGAGCAACTTTTGCAATGTTTTTTGTCATTAAATGCTAAAAATTGTCATGGGGTGATTGTTGAGGCTTTTTCTGAGATTTGGGAGACATTGTTTTCACCTAATCATAATTAATGTTAGTTGTTAGGATAATTTCAAGAATTAGTACTCTATTAGTTTATTTTTAATTGGTCTTTTAGAGAGTTAATGTGTATGGCTTTAGACTAATATATATTGTTTTATCATATATATTAGTAATATGATAATGATTGCAATTTATACTTCCTCCATCCCAGTTAATATTTTATTATGGAATTTTTACATAAATTTTACAGTGTTAAAAATTAATAACTAATATGTTCTTTTTTAAGTTACAAAAGAATTGATGAAATCCAAATACATCCTGATATATCACGTCCTGATTTCAGATACACACTCAATTTCTTGATATATCATTTTTCGGTTTTGGATACATCACTCGACATTTCCATTCATCATATCTCGATTTTAGATACACACTCAACATCTCGATACATCGCTTCTTGGATTTGGATACACCACTAATGTCTCAATATATTGCATCAAAAGGGATGTGTACGACTAATTACATATATCACTCAACGTCCGAAAATATAGCGTAAAGTGACATATTCGATCAATACACCGAGTAAAGTAATGTATTCGAGAATAGGAGAAAATATTTTTTTTTGTAATTTTCAAATGATAGAAAGTTTCAAAAAATATAATAAAATAAATTATGTATTTAGATAATTTTCTCAATTATTTATCACAATTCAAATCCATAACACATATTATTTATCTCTAGTTCCTATTTTATTTTTGTAATGTATCACCTGGATTTTTAGAAATTTTCACCCGAAATAGTATCTAAAAAAAAAGTGAAAGAAAAAGGGCAATATACAATTAAAGATTCTCCTATCAACACAAAGCAGAAGAAGCAAGGGAAGTAATGAATTTTAAAGACCAACAGAAATGATGAGAAGTTAACATCCTCGTACAAGTGGATTATGAGTTCGAATCACCAAGTAAGCAAACATAGGATCGCTCATACATGTTACCAATTTCAAATGTGTATAGTATAGGAAGACAACATCACAATCGTCGCGGATTTCACATAGTAGATACATTATGATATGCTAAATTTTTCGTATATCATATTTAAGATCATAAGATTTAAAGACACTTTGGTATAGTCTACATATCTTTAGCTTAAGACCATAAGATGTAAAACTCTTTTTTGCTTTCTTAAACTCCGTATCAAGTCAAAATCAGACAAACAAATAAAAATAGAGAAAGTATATGATGCTAAGCTTCTACAACTTAGCATCAAATTCCATTTTCCAAAAACAAAGAAAGTTAACCTAAATGAGGAACATTAATCCTTGATAAACTATGGTTATAACATGGATGGATGTTTATACTAAACTAGTGAACGCGTTTCGCGCGATTATAAAAAATGATAAGTTATGAATAATTTTAGTATAACTTTGTTATGAATAATTTTAGTATAACTTACATATATTTCATAGTGTAAGGCCCTAAATTACATCTTATCCCTACTTTTTCAATTTTACAAAAATTTCTTAAAAAATCAGTCATTCGGATATATAAGTTTCATTCGGATACATTAATTGTGATACATTATAAAACTTGTCTATAGCGCTTAATATGGAATATTAATGTAAATTGATTTTTTTTCCTCCACAAATCACGCAGAATTGATTTTCTTTACCACAAATTATGCATAACTGATTGATATCAATTCATTCCAATTGTAACAACTTCGCAAAATTCAAAAATCAATTTTTCATCTTCTATCAATTTGAAATCTTGAATCTCAAATCCGTCATTATTGATGATTGGACATACAATTCACGGTTTCAAATCATCAATTCGAAATCGTCGTCAAGAATAAAAATTCGTTCAAAGCATAACAAAGAGACAAATGCTTCTTTTGGTGGTTTTAGCAAATGAGTTGACTTTATTTCCAAGAAACAATTTTGTAAATTCAGTTCTTGGAGAAAGAGATGAAGATACTGCTGCTAATGGAATTCAACACTTAAATAGGGTCATTTTTGGTGGCAGACGAAGAATAAATGAAGTGTTCCAGTTACCAAATATAATGACGAAGTGAAGTTGAATAAGGAATTATTGATACAATAAATATGGTGAAACGAATCGAGTCCTAACAGAATCAACAAACTAATAATTCAAATCTCTTCTCCTTGTTCATCGAATAATCTTTTAAACTTATCGAATTATAGTGATACAACATAAACCTATTGATCTTGTTACGACATTCCACAATATGAGAAAGTGAGGTGAGGTAAGAAAGATACAAAAATGATGAAATTGTTGTTGGTTAAAATATTGATTTTGTGAATCTCAAATCATTCGTTGCAGGTGAGTTAGAGATCAATGAATTGAGAAAGAATTTGAAAATCTGATACAACGTTAATGTGAAGAAACAAGAGACTAAATTTTCAATGTATCAGCTATGTATTGACATAACAGACAAAAAGGCTGAAGACAATACATACTGTTGATGGATTATCCATACCTTTATAATATTGTGTATTAAATATATTTTGATACATTACTATTTATGTATCTTATTTTGTTTGAGAAATATTGTATTTAATAAAATGATACATTATACATGTAATAAAGTTTGAAAATTGTTGAATTATTATATTGTGTATCATGTACATATCAGTTAATTTGATATACGATACTTTATCTATAGAATAGTAGGGTTTATGTGTCAAGTTTATTTATTGGTTAAAGTGTACAAGCACATAATCTTCAATTTTAAATAAGTCTAAAATTTAACACTATAGATACATAAAATGTGATTCATGAGTATGATGAAATTGTAATGTATCATAATGTTAAAAGGAATGCATTATACATTAATTTAAGAAAAGAAAAATAACTTGATACATTAAAGATATGACTTCATATATATCAAAGAAAGATGAATAAGAAAAAGTCGAAAAAACCCTCAACAATATGATATGCTTCTCCTTCTCCTTGTCCTTCTCAACATATCGATAATGTATCAGATTGTTGCTGCGTTTGTGGGAGTCCATTAAATGAGCATAATAAAAACCTTGTCAATACATTGTCATAGCAAGTCTACCAACAACAACATTTAAAGGAGGACGAGATGGACCCCAAGATCTCATATTAGTATTAGAAGAATTTAGTTGAGTAACCTTACTATGGAATGAAGTGGTCTGACCCAGATGTATCAAAAAACATCTGGAAAAAAAATGGAAGAAGAAAATAATGGTGAAGACAAAACCATACCTATTCGGATGTTTGAAATTAATTGACTTGAGAGAGAGAATCCTTTTGAAATAATTTAAAAATTATAACTGCTAAAAATGTGGAGTGAATTTAGGGAGAGAAAAGAGGAGTGAAAAGGGGAGTATAAACGTGAGTTTGGTTGAAGGGTCTTATGTATTTGAATTTGTAAGAATTGAAAGAAATAAGGGATTTATGTAATATTTCAAAAAGGTAGGGAAAAATAGAGAATAAGGTAAGTAAAAGTTGTGTATATAAGTAATTTTTCCATAATTGTATTAAGTATCATGTAAATGAAGATGCGTTTACAATATAATTGTTAGACCTTGATTTTTTATAGCAAAGAATAATATATAGATTTAATGCATAAATAATCTATAGAGTTTTTTACTGACATCCACTCTATAGGTTGATCATAATTTAATAATTTGGATCTTATTTTTTTGAGTCAAATTAAAATATGCAAATAATAAACATAAAGAATATATAAACAACAAAAAAATAAATAAATCAATGTGATGATTTCTAAGTAATCTAACAATATTTCTCAAAAAAATAACAAAAAAAAAAATTAATGTGATGATTTCTATAAAATTTGACTATCTTTATTTATACGACTATAATTTTTAATATCAATATGATTATTAATTATTACTTTAGAAATTAGAAAAATAAAAAGTTGTTAATGTAATGAAAATAAATATCACCAAAATTTATATTAAAGAAATGACTTTTTAATTTCTTAACATTTTATTTAATATAATTAATAGAATTAAAGAATTGAGTTTTAAATGAAGAAAAAAAAAAGAAAATCCACAAAAGAAAAGAATCAATTATTAACCAAAAAAAAACTAAAATCCTGCCACTCAAAAAAAGATGAAGTTTAAAATTACAAAAGAATAAAATTTTTTGAAAATAATTGTGATAGAGATTTATCAGAATTTAAGAAGTATTTTTTTTAATAAATGAAAGAAATTCAGGAGAATGAAAGAAAAGTTTTAGAAAAATTAACTAATAGTATTTTATTAATGATGAAAAATATGATATTTTAATTTTTTCAACATTTAACAACAAATTAAATTAATTGAGAGAAAATTAATGGGGAGAACATATTTATGGTAATAAAAAGGAGACATAAATAAAACATATATATTTATAAAAAATTATAGAAATAGAAGGTACAAGGTTAAATTATGTTATAAGGATCAGAATTAAATACATTCCTTTTTAAAAAATTATAAAAATAGAAGGTAGAAACGAATTTAAATAAAAATAATAATTTGTAGCAATAATAAAGAAAGATCAAATTAATAAATTGTAATAATGATGAGAAATTGGATATTTTTTGGGAAAATGCACAAGTACCTTCTCAATCTATGCCCAAAACTTTAGAGACACACTTATACTATACTAAGGTCCTATTACCCCCTTAACTTATTTTATAAGTAATTTTCTACCCCTTTTCGGCCTACGTGACACTAGTTTGAGAAAAAAAGTCAACCAGTATTAGGCCCACAAGATAGTGTCACGTAGACCAAAAAGGAATGAAAAATTATTAATAAAATAAGTTCGGGTATAGATTGAGCGTGTACTTGTGCATTATCCCATATTTTTTTTCCGATTTCATAGATTAGAGAAAATGAAAAATTAAAATATGTAACAAATAAATGACCGCAAATTAAACTTAAATTTTAGTTATATTACATGAAATCTTTTTTTCTTTAAAAAAAAATGTTTCATCAGAGTTTATTAATCAACAAAATTAAAAAATAGTACAACTACCAATTCTAAAAATGGATCGATTCCAATAATCAAAAATAAAAATAAACTATAGCACTAACTAAAATTTAAAAAGAGAAAAGTAAATAAACAAATGCAGAAGAATGACAAGAGGTTCAGAGGTTTGCAAACTCCATATCCAGTCGTCTTCTTCGATCAACCACGTAGAAAT